GTGGAGCTGCCCTTGGAGCTGAGTAGCAGCAGCACAATCACGAGGCAATCTCCCCAAATGAATGGGGATGAGGAGGAGGAGGAGGTGCAGCAAGGTAATGAGCGTGCACCGCCACTTCCTCCTCGTGCTACAAGTGCTCGCGGGAACCGACCGGACTTACCGCAAAGCCATGAGAGCATTCAAGTCCCTGCAGCAGAGGAGGAAGGAAGGGGGAGAAGGAGGACTCAGCCCCCCAATAGGTTGAGCTATGAACGGCTTGGAGGACCAGCCAACTCAACCTTGACCGGTTCGGCTCTCATGCTAGGTGATGATGCGGAAGATGAAAGCGAGGAGTGCGCTTTTGCCTTCTTCTCTCCGGTGGAGATACCGGGGGAGCCTACAAATCCCAAGGAGGCTTGGGAGGGCCCCAATGGGAAGGAGTGGAAGAAGGCCTCAGATGAAGAAATGGGTAGCATCATCGAGAACGACACGTTTGACTTGGTGAACCTACCTCCGGGGCGTAAGGCGATTTCTTCCAAGTGGCTCTTCAAGCGCAAGACCGACGCCGACGGCAACATTGAGTGCTACAAGAGCAGACTTGTAGCCAAGGGGTACCAGCAGCAGGAGAAGAAGGACTATAATGAAGTATATGCTCCTGTGGTGAAGGGTACAACCCTTCGAACTCTCTTCGCCGCGGCGGCCATCAAAGGATGGGTGGTGAAGCAAATGGACATTGTAACGGCCTTCCTCAACGGCATTTTGGAGGAAGAGACCTACATGGAGCAGCCAGAGGGGTACAATGATGGGAGTGGCAGAGTGTGGAAGCTGAAGAAAGCACTCTATGGCCTCAAGCAAGCCCCTAGGCAATGGTACATCAAGCTGCGGGAAGTCTTGGAGGCGATCGGCTTCACTCCCTCAACGGCCGATCAATCCTTGTTCATGCTTGGCGAGGGGGAGCAGAGGAGCTTCATGGTGGTTTATGTGGATGACATCCTCATATTCTCACCCTCCTCTGACCTTGTGAAGGAGGTGACACAGAAGCTTCAAGACAAGTTCAAGTGCAAGACCCTTGGTGACGTCAACTACTACCTTGGGCTTCACATTGAGCGAGATGTGGAGAAGCGGTGGATGCGAGTGCATCAAAAGAAGTACTTGGAGGCCTTGGCTGCAAACTTTGGGAAGTGTGAAGGTCATGTGGCTACTCCTCTTCCCTCAGGGTTCAAGTGTGTGAAAGGACCAGCGGAGGAAAGTGTTGGTGAAGAGGAGAGGCGCCGTTTTCACTCCTTGGTGGGCAGCCTCATGTATGCGGACGTTCACACAAGGCCGGATGCAGCCTTTGCTACCGGGCAGCTGGCTAGGGTTGTCCAATGCCCTAATGAGGAGCAGGTAGCAGCTGGAGAGAGGGTGGCCAAGTACCTTGGCCAAACAGCAACTGTTGGACTGAAATACTCCGCGGCGGCACAAAGGCGTCAAAAGGGTGCAGATGGAGTCGAACCCGGGAGGCTCTTTCTCACCGCCTTCTCTGATGCATCTTAGGCATCAGAACCAGAGGACATGACAACTGTGGGAGGCTTCATCTGCTGTATTGGTGGAGGGCCAACAGCTTGGGAGAGCAAGAAACAAGTGGACCAAGCATTGAGCTCGGTGGAGTCCGAGTACATGGCACTCTTCCGTGCCATAAGAGAGGTTGTGTGGCAGCGGCGTTTGCTAGCTGAATTGGGGGAAGAGCAGCAAGCACCTACCCCACTCTACTGTGATAGCTAGGGTGCTATTGCATTGGCTAAGGACCTGGTTCTTCATGGCCTTACCAAGCACATGAAGGTGAAGTGGCATTGGATGAGGAGCATGGTAACCGCGGGTGAAGTGGAGTTGCACAACGTGAAGACGACGGCGCAGCCTGCTGATATGATGACCAAGAGGCTGGTTGAGCAGCAGCATTGGAAGTGTTGCAAGCTTGCTGGGATGGCTCTGAACTAAGGGGAACAGATTCTAAGGCCAACAATCCGAAGGGGAGTTTGTTGGTGCAACCTTATGGCTTGCACTCGGCTTGTCGTCCTTGCTTGTGTGTGTGCATGCATGGCATGGAATGAATTGTGAGTCTATGTCATTGCTATCCAGTGCTTGTGTGTGTGTTTGAATGGTGTATCACAATGTGGTTTGTGTCGGTCAAGACATTAGCGAGTTTTTACAACTCGCACGTCAAGTCGTCGTTTGCATGTCGCATGTGTTTTTTCTTTTTTGTCGAGTGTGAAGTGTCCATCACGTCGCAGGTGTGTGCAGCAAGCCCCCATCAACTCAAGAACAATTTATCTTGCAGAACCAAGAACAAGAGCTCAAGATTTCAAACACAAGGGACGCGGATAAATACTAAATAGTGAAAATAGTAACGTTACTTCGTGTAGTGTTACATTTCACTTGGTGTAGCCCCTTGGAGGGTTGGTTTCGAGACTCTTCATGGTTGGGGACTCTGTGGTGGTGTACCACCAACCTGGAACTCGGCTCTTGGGGTATGTAGAGGCTGGGAACCATCTCCCTCTCGAACTCTTCTTGCTAAGTTTTGTACTTCCAAGACTATAATGGCTGCTATACCTCCTGCCAGTCAAACCGCCATAGCGTCGTCAAATCTTCATGGAATTTCATGATTCAACTTGCTGCTAATAGACGACAGCAACACGCTCCAGATCCAACTTACACATCACAGTTTAATTCAGAGACTAGACCTTTATCAATATTTGAAGCCGTCTGACGGAAATCGGACTGTGCTCTCTATCTCTCATTATAGGCACATCTAAGCCTATTGTGATTATAACAGTGTTGTACCCTCTAAGGCACAATCCAGTATAGTCTATAGTAACAACCTAAGTTACATTTGACACACCCCCTAGACTATATAGGGGCAGTGCCTAACAGATAATAATTGAACTAGAATGTGTGAGTACAAGGGTATATAGACTAGGGTGTTGTACCCTCTAGGCACAATCCATTATAGTCTACAGTAACGACCTAAGTTACATTTGACACACCCCCTAGACTATATAGGGGCAGTGCCTAATAAGGGAAGAAGCAGCTCAGGGCGGCACTACTAGTCCAGCCTCTGAGACAAGGGTCTAAAGACCAGTCACAAGGAGTACAGACAAGGCAAGAGCAAGACCAGGGCGGCACTACTAGTCTAGCCACTGGGAAGAGGCCACAAGGCCAGTCAGGGTAAAATATATATATAAAGGACAGTACAAAGTCAAGGCCCTAGCAAGTGAAAGGCTACATGAACGAGACCTAGCTGTACACTGTGCCGCTGATGATCTTTAGGCGCACCAGAGGCCAAGTGTACTCCGCGCGCCTGGCGGCGCTGCTCGAGCTCACGTAGGAGGAAGTACCGCAGCTGGATGTGCTTCGCTCTGCCCTCGAGTCGAGGCTCCTGACACAGGAGGATCATGGCCCTGTTGTCAGCGTACAGGACCGGGGCAGAGCTAGGCCGCTCACCTAAGTCAGTGAGCAAGAAGGTCTGCCAGCGGAGCTCCTGTGCCGCCATAGACGAGGCGTACCGTCAAGATGGACAGACGGAGAGTGGCCATCCTGCCGCTGACTAGTGAGGTGGCGACGGAGGCCAGCAAGCCACGCATCAAACTCAATCGGCTGGCCCTCAGAGTCAAAGCAAAGCACCTCCGCCATTAGTAGCAATAGAGGGCAGTGGAGAGCAGTACAGTGCGGCGCAGTGCGGTACAGTGCGGTGCAGTGCGGTGCGGTGCGATGCAGTGCGGTGCAGTGCGGTACAGTGCGGTGCAAGGCGATGTAGTTCGGTACCGGGGGGGTTCGCAGGGCAGTGCTGATCGCGAGGAACGGGCCGAACCGGAGACGGCGGCGGGCTGGCGACGACGCGAATGCAGGAGCCGGCCAGCGGACGGCAGACGCGAGGGGCCAGCAAACGGCGGCAACGGGGGCCGGCGAGGAGCTGGCGCTGCGGCGAGTAGGGCCAGCCACGACTGCGAGGAGACACGGCCACGACGGCGACCAGGGACAGCCGCGACGGCGGCCAGGGACAGCCGCGACGGCCGCTAGGGGCGGCCGCGACGGCAGGAGTGACCGTGAGGCGGCTGGAGACGGCAGCTAGGGGCGGCCGCGACGGCGAGGGGGCGGCCGTGAGACGGCTAGGGGCGGCCGTGGGACGGCAGGAAACGGGCGCGACGGCCGGGGGGGGGGAGGGGAGGCTAGGGACGAGCGCGACGGCCAGGGGGCCGGCTAGGGACGGGCGCGATGGCTAGGGGGCCGGCTAGGGGCGGACGCGACAGCCAGGGGGCCGGCTAGGGGCAGGCGCGACGGCCAGGGGGCCGGCTAGGGACGAGCGCGACGGCCAGGGGGCCGGCTAGGGACGAGCGCGACGGCCAGGGGGCCGGCTAGGGACGAGCGCGACGGCCAGGGGGCCGGCTAGGGACGGGCGTGACGGCCAGGGGGCCGGCTAGGGACGGGCGCGACGGCCAGGGGTCCGGCTAGGGACGAGCGCGACAGCCAGGGGGGCGGCTAGGGGCGGACGCGACGGCCAGGGGGCTGGCTAGGGGCGGACGCGACGGCCAGGGGGCCGGCTAGGGACAGACGTGACGGCCAGGGGGCCGGCTAGGGGCGGACGCGACGTCCAGGGGGCCGGCTAGGGACGGGCGCGACGTCCAGGGGGCCGGCTAGGGACGAGTGCGACGGCCAGGGGGGCGGCTAGGGGCGGACGCGACGGCCAGGGGGGCGGCTAGGGACGGGCTCGACGGCCAAGGGGCCGGCTAGGGGCGGACGCGACGTCCAGGGGGCCGGCTAGGGACGGGCGCGACGGCCAGGGGGCCGGCTAGGGGCGGACGCGACGGCCAGGGGGCCGGCTAGGGGCGGACGCGACGGCCAGGGGGGCGGCTAGGGACGAGCGCGACGGCCAGGAGGGCCGGCAAGGAGCGGGGCACGACGGTGGCTAGGGCCTAGGGGGCGGAAGCGTGGGCGGGCTAGGGGGGAACCTAACCTACTATGATAGCATATCAGAAAGAATAATTGAACTAGAATGTGTGAGTACAAGGGTATATAAACTAGGGTGTTGTACCCTCTAAGGCACAATCCAGTAGTCTACAGTAACGACCTAAGTTACATTTGACAGAAAAGTACAAACTTTCAGGACCCTTATATTACAAAGTATGTCTGAAATCTAGCCTTACAGAAAAAGTGGCAAGAGGGGAATACCCTTCTGAGAAAGAGTACTTCAAATCCTATCCAGAGGCCTGGTGGTCACCAAGACTGCTAAGCACCTTCCAAAGCAAGCGGGGAGCGTCTTGCTGAATAAGATTCAACCTCCTGAAGCAGCTTGGAAGCTTCCATTTGGATAAGCTCCCATGCTGCCTGCACGTGCCTCATCTCTGTCTTCACCGCCCCTATGGCCATGCGCAGCACGTAGTGCCCAGATAACACCTGCGTGGGGGGATGGAAGGAAGGGCAGGTGTAAGTGAATGGAGGGGCTCTCAGCATAAAACGCAAAGCAAGAGGGTACGGAGCAACGCGCAGCAGCAGGCTGCAGCACTCACAGTGTGTGTGAGGTAGGCCTTGCCGCTGCTGTTGATTGCCTCCAGCAGCGCTGCGTTCAGCTCCCTCCCCCCATCCTCCCCACCACCTCCCATCCCCCCACGTGCGCCTGCTGACAGTGGCTTGAGGCGGAAGCACACGAGGGCAAAGGGGCGCGGGGCCATCAGCTGGGGCACGTGGAGGGAGGGCGTGTGTGGGCGGGGGGGGGGAGAGGGGGGCAGGAGGGATGGGTATGAGACAAGGCATGGTGGTGGCATGAGAAGTTAGGAGGCAGGTGGGGGGAGGGTACAGGAATCGGAGGGCATTTTGCTGAAAGGAGAAATTAATTTCAGGAACGCAATCCTTGGATGCAGGGGGTACTTGAGGTGACAGCAAATCCGTTTGGGGAACAAATGAGACGGAAACAAATGGGCTATTTGATGGTGGGGATAGCACATGGACAAGGGGGGGTCACATGGCAACCGATACCACACTCACTTCGAACTTCCCATCCTGACGCACAGCCTCCTCGAACCACTGAGCAAGCGCCACGTGGCGCCTGATGTACGCCCGAATGCCCTCCGCTCCGTATGACCGAAGCACCATCCACAGCTTGAGCGACCTGGCAGGATGGGCGGGCAGCATGGGGATGGGATGGGGTTGGGCACAGGGATGGGGATGGGGATGAGGATGGGGATGGGGATGGGGATGGGGATGGGAATGCGAATGGGGATGGGCATCATCCCGCCCTGTGCCATGCATCATCCCGCCCGGTGCCATGCATCATCCCGCCCGGTGCCATCATGCGGCAGTGGGATGGGTGACAGTGTAGGAGGCACCTGAAGCGGCGGCCGATGGGGATCTCCCAGTCCTTGTAGTCCACCACCTGCTGCAGCTCTGATGCCTGCCGTAAGAGAGGGGAGAGGGAGGAAGGGGACGAAGGGAGCATACCTTGGGGCGGGGATTTAGAGAGAAAGAAGACCATGGTGCGGTCATACCGCCATCACGCCACCACTGCTAACACATTGGTAATGGCGCAAGCGAACACGTTGGTAGTGGCACAAGAGAACACGTGTTGGTAGTGGCACAAGAGAATACGTGTTGGTAGTGGCACAAGAGAATATGGGTTCGTAGTGGCTTGAGAGCACGTGTGGATAAGGGCATGAAGCCCACCTTATTGCGCAGATACTCGGGCTGCATGGACAGGGCCTTCACCAACGGCTTGCTGTCCTGGAGGGGGCCAGGGGCAGATGGGTGGATGGGTGGATGGGCAGAGATGGGCAGATGGGCCGTCAGGCGAGCATGGTGCAAGGCGCATGGGGCATGGTGCATGGGGAATGGTGAGCATAAGGACACTGCATTAAAACACGCCATGGTGAGCATGGCGTGGCATTTCAATGCATGGAATGGCATGGCATGGAAAGGCATGGTATGGCATGGCATGGTAACAAAAGAAGCATGGCATGATACGCAGTACGAGCAAGATTGAGATCTCACGGATCCTTGCTCAGCGTCCTCGCAAGCTTCCTGCATACCACTTCCACCGCTCCTGCTCCTTGCATGCTGCAATCATGATTCCCCATTCCAAGGAAACTTGCTGCACCATTACCGTGACATGATATCTCTCCTAACAGTGACATGTCGACTCTCCTTACAGTAACATCTCCTTACAGTGACTGACACCCGGCACAGTCACACTACCTGCGTCCAGAGGCAGGTACAGTCGAAGCTGGTGAGCAGCCACTTGTGTGCGTTGGACGCTAGTGAGTCCACCAGATGCACGCCCTCCAGATGGTGCCGCATTTCAGGGCACATGCACGCCATGCCCGCATATGCCGCGTCCACATGCACCCACATGCCATGCGCCTGTGGGGGGGGATTCTGACACATTCTTAGCCAACCTGAATTGAACCCATGGCATGGCATGGCATGGCAAGTAAGGGTATGGCTTGGCAAGGAATGGTATGGCACGAAATAGTATGAGATGACATGGCGTAAATGACACGACAGTGCTCACCTTGGCGATGGCAGCAAGCGGGGCGATTGGATCAATGGCAGTTGATGACGTGGTGCCGACCTGGCATGACGTGGCCGTGGATCAGGAGAGCAACATGGCGTGAATGCAATACAGTGTGTGACTGCCAAGCAAGGGCTGCACTGGGAATCAGATGACGAGAATCGAGGGGGCTAGACAAGCTGCAATACACCAGCTGCTGTGAGGGGAACCTAAGTCACTCCTAAATCCAAGATTGTAGGGTTGGTTGGATGAGGAAGGATGAGGTAGAGAATGTGTTCGAGTGATGGGCTTCTCACGGTAGGAGTGAGGGTGGGGGTGAGGGTGGGAGTGAGGGTAGGGGTGAGGGTACGAGTAAGGGTGGGAGTGAGGGAGGGCTTACAGTGAGAGTGAGGAAGAAGGGGATCAGCCCGGCAGCCTCGTCCCTCTGTATCGCACTCAGCAGCACCTCAGGCGTGATGGCATGTGCAGAGGCGGCCGTGGTGGGCAGCACGCGCATGTTGCACTCGGGGATCCCCGCCACACGGCACGCCTTTTCCACACACGCGTGCGTCTGGTCCGAGAAATACGCCACCAGCCGCTGCCGGGCCACGTCCTCCGGATTGTGCCAAGGGAACTTGATACCGTTGCTGGCAGATGAACCTCCCTCAGTTGCACCCAGCACGCAAGCACCTGGACCAGCGTCCACAAGGCCCCCCTGCGCTGCCAGCCTGTCCAGCGCTCTCCTCCTGGCCGCCAGTAGCGCCACCAGCCCCGCCTCACTGGCCGTGCCGTGGATCACCCCGCCGCCCACCCCGCCTGCCATGGCAACAGCAGGCGCAACACTTGGACGTTGAGCCACTGACCATGTCAGTCGCATCATGCCATGAAGCGAAGCTTGCTGCTGCACGTGCAAGCAAGGCAAGGACCAGCCTGCCATGCCATGGCCACATCGTGCCATGGCTTCTGCGTCAACCTGACTTGGCAGCATGGAAACAATCAGGCGAACCCAGCAGATCCAATCGACGCCAACCATCACTTGACTCGACTCCCACTTGACTCGACCCACTTGAATCGACCCCCACTTGACTCGAACCCACTGGACGCATGGAAGGAAGACCCAGCGAAGCAAGTCAGGTAGCCAATCAAGGAGGGCAGCAGGGAAGGCAGTCCAGGAGAAGCTGACGACGCTGAGATTGCTGATGAGGGCGTTGGCGGCGGTTCCAGTGGGTCAATACCTCTGCCGTCCCACCTTACCAGCATCTGGCTCGCCCGCACCCGATTCAACCTCACCTGATTTAGCAGAATGGAAGTCATCAGGTAGGCCCAGTGAGTGGGTCAGCCAGTCCAGAGCGAACGTCTCGAGCTCAGTGACCAGCAGGGGAGGCGGTGCCCATGCCTTCTTACCTCCCACCGCCTGCGTCTTGACTCAACCTCACCTGACTTGGTGGAGTGGAAGCCGTCGGGCAGCCCCAGCAGGTCCGCCAGCCAGTCCAGCACGAGCGTCTCGAGCTCGGTGGCGGCGGGGGCAGCAATCCAGGAGAAGCCGACAACGTTCAGCGCGCTGATGAGCGCATCGGCTAGGATGGCGGCATTGCTGGTGGTGGAGGAGAAGAAGGCGAAGAAGGACGGGCTCTGCCAGTGGGTCAGGCCGGGGAGGATGGCAGACGAGATGTCTGCGAGGGAGTGGGGGTAGAGGGAGAGGCAGGGAGAGGGAGGTATTTTAGGCACCTTGGACAGAAGACGTCGGCCCTGCCAGTGGGTAAGGCCGGGGAGGATGGCCGCAGAGATGTCTGCAAGTAACAGAGGGAGGGTGAGAGGGGGAGAGGGGGTGAAGTGGCGGAGGGGGTGAATGGGTGGAGACAGGGAGAGGCAGGGGCAGTGAAGACGCCTACATAAGGCTGGTCAGTCGATGAAGGCGGGGGTTATGGCAGACGAGATGTCCGTGGACTGTGGGAGAGTTCTCGCAAGAGAGGGGGGGGGGTCTATTAGGCCCCGGCTTGGGATCATGGCAGAAGAGATGTCGAGGAAAAGGGGAGGGAGAAGGGGGAAGGGGGGGAGGGGGGAGAATGGAAGGGGAGGGGGACGGGAAGGGGATGAGGAGTGATGGGAGCGGCAGGTGGCGCTGCTGAGGGCGGGGAGGAAACGCTACGTGTGTGTTTACGTCTAAGTTGCAGTGAGTGTGCCGTAGGCCATGGGGATGTGCGGGGTACGGGGCTGAGAGCTGAGGGGACGTGACATGGATGGCGGATGATGCGGCGCCACATGGATGGGGATGATGGGGCATCACCTTTGAGCGTGGCTTCGAAGGGTTCGCCATGCTCTGGGGCTTGGGGTGGCAGCAGGTGACGCAGATAGCCGGGCTGCATGGGGTGGAGGGGAAGAGCACCGCATGGTAAGGCAGTGCAGAGCAGAGCACAGTAGGGACAGCACAGCACAGCACCGCACGAACAAGCACAGCACCGCACGCACAGCACAGCACAGAACAGCACAGAACAGCACAGCACAGCAGAGCACAGCACAGTTTGTGCATAACAGATTAGCAGAGTACAGAACCAGTAGTGGGTGTGACAGAAAGCAGGGGTGTGAGAGCAAACGTGCGTCGTCAATGTGTCACGCACCAGCCAACCTGCAGGTTGCTGTGCAATCATCGCCTCTGAACTTCCCCTGGTAACCCCCCTCCGACGCTACTACCGTCATGCCAATACCACTCACGGTCACGCGCCTCAAAAAGCGCACCTGCACGGTGCTGCGCACGGGCATGCTCTCCACCGTCTCCAGGTACTGCGCGATGAACTCCACCATGCGGTGCCCCTGTGCGCGGAACTCCGCCGCGTCCAGCGCCCCCACTGCCATGCCATCCGAGGCTGGCGCAGCGGTCTCTGCTGCTACCGTCGCAGCGGTGGTGTCGCCGCCAGCCCCAGCAGCGCTGCTCGGAACGCCAGTCAGCGCTGCATCCAGCACCGCCAGCCCAGGCAGCCCCGCCACTGGCGCTCCTGCTGCCATCTGAGGAGCTGCTGGGCAGAATGCCTCTGCCACACCCTTCTGTGCGGTCGGCCCGTTGCGTGGCACCGGCGATGGGGCTGCTGCTTTCACCTTCAGCAGGTCAAGAACCCCGAGTGGGAGATCGCCGGGTTGCGCAGCGGCCGTGGCGGGACGAGTCATGGTTTAGGAGGCTCGGGTGAGACAGGGTACAGTATAAGACGAGAGGGGGTTTAGGAGGCTGAGGACAAAGTGTGAGGTTGGTAATGGAAGAAGGTGAACCAATATTTTATAAGGAGCGCTACTGGAGGCTCCATTACTGGCAAGAAAGAGTCTAGGAGAAGGAGGTCCACCCTCTAGCCAATTTGGCTCGACAATCCGATGTTGAAATCGGTTGTATAGTCCAACCTTGAAAGCGGTTGCGTAGAACAACCTGGAAAGCGGTTGGCTATTAGTCCAGAAGGACCAGTTGTGATTGGGCCGTCAGCATCAGTCTGAGCGGGCCCAAGCACAAGGATCAAGGACTACCCTGTGGTGGGGCTACTCCGGTCCACCCGTGGCCCATATTTCTTCTCCCAGGGGGAAGACGGCGGGGATGCGCTCGAAAATCACGCCGTAAGCTTCGATCGCTACCTCATACAGCAGGCTGGGCGTAGTATGAGCCGAGTACACCTCGTCTACCTTTCAGTCACTCGAGATTTTGATTTTTTGGCAGCCTAAACCGTGGAACCAGTTTCTGTGGGGCAAATGAGACATTATGGTGTAAATGCTGAGCTGGCCTTGTTCTCTCGACCACAAATGTGGCCCGCAGTTCAAGGGTCAGTTATGATTACAAATTTGACCCACAGAACCGGACTGTAAGGTAGGTGATAGTGCCCCTGAGGAACTGCAGTTTCTACATTTACGGTGATTTGGGACAGAATAGCTACGGACGTAAGGGTGGAAAAGGTGTACCGTGGCCGGCCTGAGCTGTGCAACGCCGAGTGGCTCTCCATACTTGTGGCTCTCAACCCGCACCATTCTTGTGGACCTCAAAAGCCCGCACCATTCTTGTGGCTCTCAAAAACTTGGACCATTCCTGTGTGTGTGTAGAAATGGCCACTACTAGTAGGCGCAGCAGTGCAGTGCTTGCCCTAGTCCGCACTGCGGTGCTGTACCGCGCACCGACCCGTGCGAGTTCAACGGACAAGCTGAGCTCGCAGCTGTTCGCATCATCCGATGCTTCTCGTCTTGGGTTGGTGGGCGACGACAGCTCATGCGCCCCTGTCCCCTCACCGAATCACGCAGATTCTCCCCATTTCCGGACGGCTTCAAGGGGAAGGGGGGGAGATCAGTGTCTGGTTTCCGGGCACTGGCCAGTGGCCACTAGTACAGATATGGTCGGGGCTGACGCGTAGGATCGGGTGATGAGGTGGCTCTGCCAGAGTTACAGGACCGTTAGCGGACTCGGTACGAACGAAACCCTGGTTACTAGAGGACGTTCGACTTGTGCCAGCCGGGTCGTCGGGTTTTGCTAACGACTACACAGGCTGCTCACTGGGCCAGCTGCAGGCCTCTCGATAAGCCCCAGGGTATTCCGGAAGGGGACGGAATCGCCTCAGGATTACCCGTTAACAGACGGAATTCCTCCAAAAAACCCGTTACGGAAAGGAATCGGCCGCTACAAATTCGGCTAGCAAGTGATCAAAGGCATGGGGGGGGAGGGGGATGGGGGGGGCCTAAATATAGTCCCCTACAGATTGCCCTGCTACAAGTATAGCCCGTACGGATTCGAAAAAAAAAAAGGTACTCGTTAGGCTAAGGAATCTCGCGAAATGGTTTCCGTAAGCTGGACGGACTCGGGAAACGTTACTCTTAATTTCTCGATATTAAGGGTAATTACTCTGCTAGCAAGAGGCCTGGCCAGCTGTCCCGCCATGCTTTAGTGTCTCCATGTGCAGTACTGTACTAGGAGAATGGTAGGCTGGTAGCCCTGTCTGGGAGGTGCTGTATCACAAATATCAGCCTTGGTCGTTCAGCTTGTCCCAAGCGTTGAATCTGAAGCTGGGCTCGAGGGATCGCTCCACAGAACGACGACCACAGGTGGTCGGACTCTTCAGGATGTGGAAGGTCATTACAACTATCCTCCGCCATTTTCTCACCCAGCAAATTCTCAGGTTTTGTCGCCTTCCTGGACCACCTACCAGCTGCTGCCCCAAACTCAAGCGTGTGAAAAAACGGAACTTTTGGGGAGGGTGAGTCACACTTCGCCAAGTCAGCAACAAGCTGACCTCAGCGATGAATCCTCCCCCATCTCAGCCCGAATAATACCATACCCAAGAAACCCAAATTGAGGCGCATGTAAAACCACGTGTACACCTACGATTTGTCAACGGTGATTGCGATGTTTTTATTTTCTTTTCTTTTTGAAACTCTGAACTTTTGATTTTGACCGTGGTTCTGTATGTTTGGGCAATAATTCTTCGCATAAATTTATTTTGTAACGCTTCTGTTTGCTATTTGCTGATTTTCAAGCCCGCTATTGTGTACGCTAAATTGCCCAATTCGTGACCTGCGCGCCATATCCAGGAAGGTTGACGCTGAGTCATCACTTTTTTGGCGCTCGCTGAGTCAGAGCCAGTTTCACACGCTTGCTTTATGAGAAATTAGCGCCAACTTGGAAGTTGACGTTAATTTCTCACCCCACCACTAACGACAACATACGGTTTTTTGAGAAAATGGCGCGGGATAGGTGTATCACATACCGTAACTGTACGGAGTCTCTAAACAGGGATATTGTGAATTCAGCAAACGGGATAGGAAATAGCATAGACCACGATTATGGAAGAATCGAGCATGATTTTGATTCAGACTATCTGTCGGCCTTTCAAACTACATGTCATATTCCCTTATCACCCAGGGGGAGACACGGCAGATTTCCCTTCAAACGAATACTGGCCGTAAGTATCAGACTGAGAGAACTGAATAATTGACTAGTGGGAGAGTACAGATAGATATACCTAAGTATTGTACCCTCTAAGAGGTGACCCTATACATTCTATGCAAACATAACAACTACACATGTTTGACAGTAAGGTAGGGGCTGTTACGATAAGGAAATTGTTACATTCCTGAAAGTGACACCCAAGACGGCCCCAGGCTCGGGATCACGAGGGCAAGGAAGCCCTCCTCTCGAAGCACCTGCAAACACTCCGAATCCGACGGCAACCACTTCCATCCCCACAAGGCTCCTCGAAAAATTGCTCCTTGGGGACTTCAACTCTTGAAGGAGGACTTCAATCCCTCAAGATCGACGACTCGAGCATCGCTCGCCAAAACACTGAAACACAACCAACCTCTGCAGGCAAAGACTCCACTCCTGGCTTCTTCAACTTCGACACCTCCAACACGCAACCACATGCAAGCATATGATTAAATGACGAAGACCGGCGATATCGGCCCAGGACAACAACAACCCCTACAATGAGCACAGCTGCTACGAGATCGATGAAGAGGAACTGGAATGGAACCTTCCCATTCCCCTCTTGGAGCCGACCCCGTACATTACCAACATGACATCTGGAGGCGACGGGCAACACTGGCACGATTTTCCAAAGGACCATCGCATGCACCTGTCAAACAAGTCGTACCTGCTAACTCCGAGGATCGCAATGATCGCCCGAAACAACCACAACCACTACAAAACCTGGTACCTAGATAGTTGCTGCGGGCAGCACATGGTCGGCTCTGAAGCTTTCATCTCCAATGCCATTCCCACCCCTGCCACAGCTTACATAACCGTTGCTAACAACGAACGGCTTGTGGCATGGCAACAGGGAATAGTTGTCCTACAGGCGCACAACACCTTGACTCACATCACCCTGAACGATGTGCTCGTCATTCAGAACCTGCGCTACAACCTACTCTCAACGGTGCAGCTGATGTCCTGCGATGTTGACCCCCAAACACGGGACCTCCTGCTATACTACCACAAGCCACATCAACCCAACGAAGATCCAAACCTACTACAGCTCATCGGAAGGGCAACAGGAGTCGAGTCTATATTCTTTACTTAAAAACCCCTAACTGCAACGGCGACAGCCATGAGCTGATTGACGTCGTCCCACTCAACTTCTCCTATCAGGAAGAGAAGGAGTGGACTCATCCTAATGGCCGCTCGTGGGTCACCCACCACATGCATCCATCTGAGATGGATGTGCACAACCCTCGACCAGAGGGCATCTGCCGTACCTGTCGCACACCAACAGCCTCCACCAGCAACATCGCTGGAACAAAACTCGAAACCCTCGAAGAAGACGAGATGGAGTCCCTTCTCACTCCAGAGGTCGGCATGACAACCTCATAACTTGCTGCAGCCGTCACCATTGTTCCTCCCAGATGAACCACGGACCCTCCCCACAACTCAAGGGAACGCTTGGAATGCATCCTTGCCTGTGTGGCACCTGGCTGCTTTGACGAAACGAGACGACCAAACCCATGGGAATTACACACTCACATGGCGTTCAATCCCAACTGGAGTGAACCCAGGCCACAAGAAGCAACAGAAATGGGAACAGCTCTAGCATCCAACATGGATGCATGGGCAAGCTCTCTCAGAACAATCGCCGCTCAACATGGACCAGCGTCACCAGAAGCAGCAGAGGCAATACAAGCAACGATGGTTGCAGCCTCAGCAGCACGGGAAGCCGCAGCAAAAGTACCAAAGCAGATGCAGCAGAAGAAGCAGTATCAGCAGCAGCAACCGAATGAGCAAAGGAAATCGCAGAGGCAACAACAACAGCAGAACCAGAACCCACACGCCCCAAACCTAGGATTGAGATAGGTGCTCCACCCTTCCAAGCACCAAGGAGCAGGGGTCTATCCCCAAGCAAAGTCACCTGGAGAGAATTATCAACAGGAGACATCGAGTGGGACACCTCCAACATCCCTCCCCAACAACCATGGCCTAACGTACCAACAGTTGAAGAATGGGGCAGACACCCAAGGCTACACTGGTTCCGCAACCTTGCTACAAGACGATGGCGTCTCAACCACGAGGAATGGTATAACAAAGGGGACGATAAGGAAGACAAAGGCAAAAGGGGGAGAGTCGCACCTAATGCGTTTCTTCACCTTGGTCGTCCTCCTCAAGCCCTTTGAACTTGGGCCGAGTACGATGAGATCCTTGATGGGAAAAACACCTTCCTCTTGAGAGGCCACCACGGACCTCCACCACCAAAGCCTCACAACCCTCTCCCTCTAGAACCAACTCCCGTCGGATTCGAAGCTGAAGCTGAAATCTAAGAAACCGAAACCATCAAAACCACCGATGGTCCGCCACCGCTCCAAGAGACCACCATCATCAAAGGTTCACCACCTCCTCGTCTCCCTCGGCAAATCAACATCGAAAGCTAAACGAGAGTGCAGTTGGACCAGACAGCTCTCCTCAAGACCGAGAAGTCAGAGCGGACCTCATAGACCGCCAATTCCTTGCTCTTGCGATCACAGCCTCTGCATTCACTGACACACCTCCAGCTCCTCCTCCTAATGATTCCCGCCAGCTCTTTCAGCACACACGAGGACATTGTGCCTCCGGGGACATCTCGCACCAGAGGCTTGGCCACCCCTCCAGAGTTACTCTCAGCAACTCAATCAGTGCTAACATCTTCGCCCCTGGAGCACTCCTAGACTCTGACGGGAATGAGCTACAAGTAAGCCAAGCACCACGCACCTGCACAGTCTGCTCCGAAGCTGCTCTCACACACAGCCCATTCTAAGACCTCCCTCGCTACCCCAACCGCTACACACCACTGGACAAAGTCTACAGCGATAACCTCGTCCTTACACAAGTAGGACTCTACGGGGAGTAGTACACCCTCACCTTCATTGACGCTTCCACCCGCTACGTCAGGGCAGTCAACGTCTAGAACAGGGGGGGAGTACTCAACATCTTCCAACCTTGGCTCGCTCTTGCTGAGCACCAGTCTGGAAAGAAGTTGAAGTATTGGCAAACGTATGGAGCTCGAGAATTCCGAAGTGAGGAGCTACAAACGCACCTCCAAGAACTTGGGATCGAGCACAGACTCTCCCTTCCCTATGCTCACCCATAATAGGCCACTACCGGCAAGTTCGAAAGGCGAGCTCGCTGGGGGGTGCACCTGGGCATCTCCCACCAGTACCAGGCATGGACAATCCTGGACCTGGAGAACTCCACCATTGTGCCCTCTAGGGACGTCCTCTTCTACGGAGGACTCACCCAAACGTAATTCTAGGAAGACTGTCGCGCGAATCACCAAGCAGCCTACGTGCATGGCTGACGCAACTTTGCCTCTCCGGAAGACGAAGACGCCACTGCCCGCCTGGACCAAGACCCACCTGATGAACAGCCCAGGGAAAAACTCTGCTTCGACGATCACGATGACGTAGACGACGCCCCACTCAAACCCTCTTGCGACACTCTACTGCGTGAAGGAATCACTGGTACCTCCTCGGACCCACGGCCCGCCACCGACTCTGATGACAACGTGCAGGAATTCACCAACGAACAGCACCGCAG